CATAATTGTGTATTGAAAACGTGATAAAAATAGAGCTTTGGCTATATGAGAGGGTTTTGTGATCTGTTATCACCAGAATAGGGTATTTGGAACCCTCTAGTGAGTGTCTCCATTCTTTAAATGCTAACACTATAGCTAGAAATTTCCTATATCATAATTCTTCTCTGAGTTTGATAATTTCTTAGAACAGAAACAACATGGATGCCAGTGGTCCTCTGAACAACAGAACAACACTTTTGATGATGTCAGCAGGCAGCTTACAGATCTGAGGCAGACAGGGGCAGAGCCAGCGGCTTCAGGCTTGAAAACAAGTAAGATTTTACTATATTTAGGGAGGCAAGAGAGGGCCAGGGGGGACTAGATGGTGGTTATAACACTATAGGGTCAGAAATATATTTTTGTGTTGCTGACCCTATAGAGCTCCTTTAAATCCTGGAAGACTGCAGGAGCATTACATAAACCAAAGGTTATGTAAGGTTATTATTTTACTAGCGCCTTTTCTTACCTTTCTTATGCACTTGTGTGTATTATTTGTTTTATAAACCAAAGGACATAACATTTCTATGCTTCAAAAAAAATAATTAAAAAATCCTATCTAGGATTTCAGGACTTCTTAAATCAAACTCTCAAAATAATGTATTTGAAGGACTTAAGGCCTCACCAATAGTTAAGGCCTTGTAGTTAAAGGACCACTATAGTGCCAGGAAAACATACTCGTTTTCCTGGCACTATAGTGCCCTGAGGGTGCCCCCACCCTCAGGGACCCCCTCCCGCCCGGCTCTGGAAAGGGGAAAGGGGTAAAAACTTACCTTTTTCCAGCGCTGGGCGGAGAGCTCTCCTCCTCCTCTCCGCCTCCGTTACGTCCCGCCGGCTGAATGCGCACGCGCGGCAAGAGCTGCGCGCGCATTCAGCCGGTCTCATAGGAAAGCATTTACAATGCTTTCCTATGGACGCTGGCGTGCTCTCACTGTAATTTTCACAGTGAGAAGCACGCAAGCGCCTCTAGTGGCTGTCAATGAGACAGCCACTAGAGGATTAGGGGGAAGGCTTAACCCATTCATAATTATAGCAGTTTCTCTGAAACTGCTATAATTATGAAAAAATGGGTTAACCCTAGAAGGACCTGGCACCCAGACCACTTCATTAAGCTGAAGTGGTCTGGGTGCCTAGAGTGGTCCTTTAAAGATGGGAACTTACTTTCCCTGAGAAGAAGGGAAGAATGATTATCTGGAATCAAGCGGGTGAATTAGAATATTCATTGTTTTCCATATTGGAACTACATTACAAAATTATCTATAAATGGTATTTAGTTCCTACAAGAAACTTTACTAGCACTCCTGACACTTGCTGGAGATGTCATGCTGAGAAGGGAAACCTACTGCACATTTGGTGGAAATGTATAAGATTGGACGCCATAAAAGTTCATATTAAATCCTGCTTGTTTACACTTTATCTATTTAATAAACTCCATTTATTTTTCTATGGTACATCGATTTTCCTATTTAAAAAAAAAAAGTCAAGAATATTTATTGTCATTTACTTTTCGCACCAAAACTTGTCATGGCTCGAAATTGGAAATCTACCGATATAAACTGCTCAACGATATGTAATCAAATTACGTATCAATATAAAATGAAATGCAGTTTCTGTAGTCAGAGAGATACTGTAGAAAAATGGAAGAATTATTTGGGTCCCTTAAATATGGATAACACTATAATATATAATATATAAGCGTGTGTATGTATTTGTGTCATTGAAAGGTAGGCAGTGGGGGGAATTTAGAAAACTGTCACGTTGTCTCTTCATATAGAAACATTGGACCCTGCTTCTCTATGAGAAAGATCTGATCAGCTGCGATTGTTTCTTATCTCTGTGAGAATTATTATATTGGATCAAGGTAGAGGTGTAGTGGCTGTCCAGTAGACACTTTAAAAACATTCTCCAAAGAAAATGTTATACAGAGTTATTCACGAAACCTCACATTTTCACAAAATAAATTCAAACGGCACAATTGATTCAAAAGAGACAAATTTTGACTTGTTTAGCGAATAACACGGAAAGTGTTCCATACATACAGTTTATTTCCACAAGATGGCAGTGTTTAATGATAACAATAAGCAATGTTTGAAATTAGATTAACTATTTATAAAAGGCACTAAAAGAAACGTGGAGGAAATGTATAAAAATACTCTGTACCTGCAACACTTGATAATACAGGATATTTTAAGATTGGCTAATAGAGTATAACAACGATGCTGTAAGAAGGAAGTTTCATAGAACGTACAATAATAATTATAATTGTATGACTGACACGCAAAAGATGCATTTTGTTATTGCAACATTTAAGGTTTTTAAGGTTTTTTTCATGCACAGCTTTGTATTAACTAAATATTACTTTTCAGTGAATTGAAATGCGACAATTTTGACATCATGGCTAAATTACTACTGATCGAAATTTGATGTTTAGTGAATAAACCCTGTACAGTTTATTTTATTGATCTCCAGTAACAGTATGTTAAATGCTTGTCCCATCAGGACAGCATACAGGGGTTGCCATATTTACCAAGACACACCATAATGCAGGGCAGAACTGTGGTCACATTTTGTTAGCTCATTATCTGGTTGAAGATTAAAAAACCTGATAATTCATCCTTTATACTTTTTTTTTTTTTTAACTATACTTGTAGAGAAAGTATATGGTAGAATCCACCTAAAATATCTTTTTGTTTTGTTGGTTATTGCTATCTCACCATTTGCCAAAAAGTGAATTCGTACTAAGAACTAAGTCCAATGGAAGCTTGATTTTAGACTCAGATAATTCTATCACAGTTCTGCTCTAAACGATTTGACAATTCCTGAAAAATATGGGGCAATTTTCTCTCTATGTATGAATATTATAGTACTCTAGTACACTGAATAAATGGATCTGATTAAAACATCCCTGCCTGGTACAAAACGACCAGAATAATTCTTTCTGCTATCTCGATGAGCTGACCTTACACATACTATGCATGTCAGCCCACTCTACGTAACAGGAAATCTTTGATAATTACCTTCATGTATATGATTGTATCTGTATTGCACTGTGTGCTTACTGTTGGTGAACCCCAAGATGAGTGTGATATGCTATAATACCATATTGTGATATCTCATGTGAGCCAGACATGTATGCTGTGCTTTCCTTTCTGTCTTCTGTATCAACCTTCTTGTTTTTCTCTCAGTTCAAAAACTGCAATAAAACTTAAGTTAAGTTAAAAAAACAAAACAAAACAAAATACGAAGTGATTCTCTATAGTAAGAATTCAAAGTGAATTTCAAATCCGCGGTCAAAATAGCCGACCTGGAAAAATGATCTAACAGGTTTATTTACTAACGTGAGAATTAAACGTGAATTTTCAAATGAACGATCCGAATAGCCGACCTGTACATTCTGTAAGTCAGCTCTGCTTTCAGTTTGGCTAACTCTGGGTTAAAATTGAAATTCACTTAGAATTCTCACTTTAGTAAATAGACCTGATATGCCATTATTACCATTGTAATTAAATCGATTTGTGCAACAAAATGGTTTATTACAAATCATTACTGTGTGCAGGAAGGAGTCTGGTAGGTTGGTAGGGCTGTAGGTCCCCCTGATTTGGAATGTGATTCCCCCTACCTGCAAAGCTTGTTTTACCTAATTTCTTACCATGTATAGAACTTTACAGTTTCCCATGCTTTCCATAAAAACGGAACTGCAAACATCTCCAACGGTGAAGAAGTGATTACAGCTCGTGTTTGCTCGGATCTCTCCTCTTTGCAGTGACTGTTTGGCAACTTGTATGTTTGGATAGTGCCTGCATCCTTCATCTGTGTAGTTTTATTTAATATCTTCTATTTATTAAAGTCCATTAAAGGAGTGAAAGGAGAGAGGAGGGAATTAGCGTTGGCAATCAGTAAATATTTTTCTGCATTTTTTATGATCATATCATTTTTATTGATAGTTTCTATATGTGTGGCATGCCCCTGCTTATTTAGACACTTGCACATTAAATCAAGTCTTAGATTTCAATTTCTAAACTTTTAGTCTGGACTTTTACTCAGCACTCCAAGCCTGGAGGATCTATAACATGCTTACCAGGGGAACATTTTTACCGACCTGGCCTAAATTTTCACTTACCATAGCCTAGTGATGAATAGACATACTGGTAGGTTGCAATCAGAAAATTGTCTTTTTTTTCTTTACACCTAACTGTACAAGATGCAATGTGTAGTCAGTTAAAGAAAGTATTTTAAAGTTGCTAATGTTTTTCATCTACCATGGAAACCAGGTGTTACATAGTTCTTTGTGGCTCCCATCTTTTCCAGCTATCGCAGCTGTAAAGGAGAAATGTTTTGGAGCATTGAAGCTGATGGTTACTACTTACTACGAACGATTACAATTAGCATTTTAATGCTTGCATGCCTCCTAAATGTCTTGGGTTTGGTGGGACAGTCACATATTTAACCCCTTAAGGACCAAACTTCTGGAATAAAAGGGAATCATGACATGTCACACATGTCATGTGTCATTAAGGGGTTAAAGTGCTTTTCATCACGTGAGTTTGTTTGTTGGTGACCAAAAGCTGAGGATACCATGGAATTGTACTTAGCAGGAGTAGTTTAAAGGTGTTGCACTCTGAAATACTCTGTGCATATACCCCTCCAACATTGGCATCTTTATAGCGGGATGCCAGTGGGAGTAGAGGAAGGGGGCAGACATAATTGGCTTTGCCTGGAAAGGGGACTGGACCACCTCATTTATTGGCAGATCAGCTAAGCATGGATGCACACTAGGCTGTCTGCTAATCAAGCAGGTCAGTCCACTGAGCAGGGGCGGATCCAGAACCTGATCTCGGGAGGGGCACTGGTGTGAACAATTCAGGCACAGTAACCACTACAGCTCTCTCTCACTGAGGGCAGGACTTGCAGGGCATTCAGTGCTCCCTGTAGGGTCCTAGCGCCCTGAGTGTAGAGCGAGAACGTTTAAAGGAACACTATAGTCCCCTAAATTACTTTAGCTAAATAAAGCAGTTTTAGTGTATAGATCATTCCCCTGCAATTTCACTGCTCAATTCACTGTCATTTGGGAGTTAAATCACTTTGTTTCTGTTTATGCAGCCCTAGCCACACCTCCCCTGGCTATGATTGACAGAGCCTGCATGAAAAAAAAAAAAAACTGGTTTCACTTTCAAACAGATGTAATTTACCTTAAATAATTGTATCTCAATCTCTAAATTGAACTTTAATCACATACAGGAGGCTCTTGCAGGGTCTAGCAAGCTATTAACATAGCAGGGGATAAGAAAATCTTAATTAAACAGAACTTGCAATAAAGAAAGCCTAAATAGGGCTCTCTTTACAGGAAGTGTTTATGGAAGGCTGTGCAAGTCACATGCAGGGAGGTGTGACTAGGGTTCATAAACAAAGGGATTTAACTCCTAAATGGCAGAGGATTGAGCAGTGAGGCTGCAGAGGCATGTTCTATACACCAAACTGCTTCATTAAGCTAAAGTTGCTCAGGTGACTATAGTGTCCCTTTAACCCCTTAAGGACAGGTGACATGTGTGACATGTCATCATTCCCTTTTATTCCAGAAGTTTGGTCCTTAAGGGGTTAATGTTGTACTTGCTCTACAGTATTTTGGGGACAATTCCAAACAGGTTTCAAGACCTGAAAATTCAGACTGTCCCATCAAAATTGGGATAGTTGGAAGGTAACAAAACGGCATGCCTTGGCAGGGAGAACTAACAAATAACAAAAAATCTTACATTTTTGCCTTAGATATTTTGTTTGCTTTATGAGATGTAGATGTCACATTACAATAGGAGAAATATGTTTAGTAAGTGGAGCTTTTATTAGTTTTCCCTCACCTCAACTTGCAGGTAGCGTTTTGTTTGGGAACAGTCCACTAGATGGCAGTACAAATACATCATTATAGAGACGCATTCTATAATTTGATCGTCACATCTGTTTATTACATTTTGCTAAATTTACTAGCAATGCCTAAAAATATTATAAATCAAGTTATTAATTTAGTAACCCAATCCATTAGTTTGATAAAAGAGGAAACGTATGTATTATATGTTGTTTGCAAAATCAAAAAACATAAATCATACACAATTTAATAAGGTAAATATAAATGTATGTGAATTTTGCCTTTATCGAAAGGCCATTGTATTTCTTATTTCTAATGAAATGCCGACCTGATTTTTTTTATTTTTAAAGGTAATGGAAATAATTGGAAGGGGCTTTTAGAGCTCTGACGGTGATTTCTCCTGAAACCAGAAAATGGGTGGACATCTTTTAACCAATCCCCGGTCTTCCATCATTTTCAGAGGGAGAGTTCATGAGAGCTCACTAACCTTTCACAAGCATTGGATGCTATTTTGCGTAAACAGAATATTCAAGGATATAATTGATATGTTGTGAACAGTTTGTTGCTTGAAGGAGAAATCTGATTGTCATTATGGATACAAAAGAATTATTTCCCCCCCTTTTTGTGACATAATTGGGAATGGCTACAATTAAGTTTGTTGTTGTCTTCTTTTGGATCAACAGCAAAAAGAATGGGTTTCAAGGTTGAACTTGATGGACCTTAGTCATTTTTTTTAACCTAGGCTACTATGTAACGATGAGTTCTGGTAAATTTGTAAAACTAATTCCTTTCTTTCATTTTAAAGTTTTTTTTTTATAAATGACACGTTGCTTGCACATATGAGTTTGGCCCTGCATGGATCACTGTTATAATTAACTGAACATGGGTTTCCTGGAAATGTACAGATGTGTGGTTCCTGCTAACTTGTATTTAGTTTCCTCTTAAAAGAGGGGAAGGGGTAGAGTTACAGTGAAAGATGATTTGATATTTTATGAAAACGCTCTCCTGATATGTTTATATATATATTTTATTTTTTACTCCTCTTATATCTGGAGGGTGCCTTTAAGAAGACAAACATGTAAGGCCTGTTTTAAGTACTAACTGACCAGGGGAAAATCTGATTGCGTGTTTAGTCTGTGACGCACACAACATGGTAACATTAGAGCTTGATCAAACATTAAGCTATTACTGCAGATGTTAAGGAGCAGAAAGTGTTGATTGATTGCAGATGTAAACTTCACAGCCTGACTGCTGACAACCTCAAGTGTGGAACATAGTATCGAAAAAATACTTCATTTAAATGTCTTATCCAGCATATTGAACGTAACGTAACCCACAAGGTTAAAAAGTGACTATTTAGTTTGCAATGTCCCCCGATATAAGAGAGAGAGGAGGATGATAAACCCTTAATAATGATTCAGATTCTGAAGGAGTTGATTAATGTTGGAGAAAAACCATAGGCATTCTTTAAGGTGAGCTCATAAGACTGACCCCCCTGACCCCCCCCAAAAAAAATCTAAATTCCAGATACTGCCAAGCCAAGTCTTTGGAAAATGGAAAACATTAGGTTAATATGTCACAAGCTTGTGACCCTAAATTTGCCTTTCAGCTGACATTGTTGTAGAATCTTCTCAGCAGAAAGTGTATTCCCTGAGCGGTTGGAGAGTATTCTGTCCAGGTTCATCTGGTATTGGGTTCTGGTAACAAAGGTTGCTGTAGCTACTCAACTCCGAAGCTAAACCCCAGTGAAACGTAACACAGATATCTAGTTAAGTAGCTAAGGGTCTCTGTTTTCCCTTGTTCTAAAAACCTTTTGTTTTAAGCATGACCACCCTCAAAATGTTCCACCTCTATTTTGGCAACCTTTGGAAAGTCACCTTATTTGTCCCCGTGCCTTGACGGCACCTCGTTTGTCTCTATGTTAGTGACAGTCTGGCAGTGGTACCATTACTGATAAAAAAAACACACAAACCCTTGATCCTCCCATATACTGGATTGCTTTCAGGTCCTCAATTAACTGCAAAACACAGAGCCAACATTCCAAGAGCGTAAAAGCAGGAATCCTGGCTGCAGATTGTACAGGACCTGCTGCAGAATTTGAATGGCCAGCTTAGTCCTTGCAGTGTCCGCCTGTGTTATATGAGAAGTGATGTTTGATATTCCAGGTGCTGTGATTGATATACCACTCCTATAGTTCTCAGGTACCCAAGCAAGCCTTTAAAGGGAAACCATCACTTCTTTGGAAACTGCTAAATTAAACTTTGAATCATGTATGACTTATGTTAACTGTTTTTTTTTTCAATGAGATGCTTAATTCTCTTAGGTTAAGCAATTCACATCACTATCCAGTTCAGGCCTGGCACAACCAGGGTACATATTGCCTTGTTTCTGTGTCTCCTCCACTTACTATATTCTCTCCAAAGTCTAATTCTCTTCATCTTCATGTAAATATTTGAAGCAAGTTGTTGAGTGAATCCTCACTTTAGTGAATAATCTGCTAGTTGTCAGGGATAATTCACGATAATGATATAAACAGAAGCAGGCAAGATAAGGACTAGAGCAGAACATAAAGAATTCTTCGGATAGTATAAAACTGCTGTGGAACCAGACTCCTAACAGACCGCACACTGGGACTTTAATAACTGAACTAATTTTAGACTTACAGCCACTGTGTTAAAGGTAAGTATAAACATAAAAGAAATTATATGATGCTAGATTTCAATTTTGCCAAGTTAAATAAAAAAATAAACTAGAAAAGCTACAATTTCTGGGGAAATTGTGTGAAGTGTTCTTGCCTCCACCAGTAATCTACAACTGGAGTGGGCGTAGTAACTGTTATTACTTATTTATATAGCACATTTAATTGCAATTTTGTTGCCTAAAGTGCTTCACAGTTACATTAAAACATACATTTATAAAAACATTAGCAGGTGTTCAAAAGGCCCTGTCTATGACATCACTTGTTGCTGCAGCCTGGCACAGGTCAGAGTATTTTGGCGGTTGCCATCTTCAAACGGTCGTATTTTAAAAACTATAAATCCTACAGCAAAGAGCTTTACATTGTGAGAATCACAAGACCCAGACCTACATTTTGATGCATAGTATGTCTCTGAAGTATTAAAAATGAAGGCACAACAAATGGTCATATTGTGAAAACTATCAGGACTATGGCTTAGCCGTGTTTAGTGGCAGCAGGGATAGCTGAACGTTTCGATATAAGATTTGTGTAGGTGGGCTTGAAAATGAGGGAGTGGTGGCAGTTTAGAAATCATGTCCTGATTTTTCAGCTTTTGCCAGCTACCACTCTAGTTTTGAACATTTTGCCATTCATTCCTATGGGACCAATTTCGCCACAAGAACAACGATATTCCATGAACCATTCGGAGAAACGTTCCACAAAGTAATAGCAATCCAATCGGGTACAATCCGCACGTTTCGGTATATTACTGTCTATGTAGTGTAAAAACTGTGGGAGGTGTTAGGGTGGTAAAGGTGGCTATAATAAGAATAAGAATAATATATATATGTGAGATAACATTAAGTGGTCTTGCTATGCAAGAACACTTAATCATTGCAAATATGTGCACAAAGGACTAACGTCAGATCACGCCATCAATAATACACAAAAAAAAAAAAAAAAAAGAAAGAAAATTCTGAAATAATGCCAAGAAATGATGGCATGAACCAGAGACTGCCAATTGGAGAACCTCTATGGGAGAGACGAAAGGACGCCGAAACTTATGTAAATAATAAAATGTAGCACTGAACCTATTTCAATATTATGTTTTGTATTTTTTATTTAACTAATGGATTGGGATGTTTGTTTGTTATCTGCTGTGCTCTGAATTTATGCAAACGTATTTGTGGAAAATCACTTGACCGGTGTATCGTCGCCATATGGGCACACGGAACCTTGGACAAACCCCCCACATACCTTTCCCAATAAGACACAGACACTAGGGTATATGGGTAAACTTGTCCACAGCTTTATTAAATATATAAATAATAACTTAACATAGAAACTTTTGGGTCATTGTCCTATGCCCCACCTTCGCTTCCGTATCCTTCCGTTAGGTATAAAAGGCAATGACCCCACTATAAATAACATATATATAACATTATACCAACATAAAAATCACTTAAAGTGTCAACAATTTATTATAAATTAACCATGGTAGGGGTATACCTGGATAGCCCTACCCCACCAGGTTCTGAGCCACCGACAGGACTTGAAACCTACCAAACGTACCAATAACCATTTACATAACCTTCCTAATGGAGAGCCTATTTCCTCTACTTGAGCTTCCTATCTCGCCATGAGCTCAGACGTTGAATCCTTAAGCCGTCTGAGCTCCCCCACCCCGAAGAAACAGTGCTTTCTGCAGCCCTTCCTGCCAACCCAGGTTCAGGAGGTCCCACCCCACTGCGGAGAGGTGAACTCCATCCGAGTGATAGTAACCTGGCAACCCCACCTTCAATTCCCGATGTCTTACTATCACACCCCCCACTTTCCTAACAAAACTAACCATCAGGCTATTTACCTTCCCCCAGCAGCAATCGATAGCCACCCACCC